GTCAACCAGCTAAAACCAGCCAACCAGCCTAGGCTGGTTTAAGCTGGATTTTTCAGCAGGGCAAAATTATTTGTTTGCTCATATGTATGCAAAGCTATATGTTAAATCTGCATTCAATACTTAAATTGCATGTATAATGCTGCGTTCACACCAGACGCGGCACGCGCGTCAAGCGCGAGTGATTTACATGTTAAGTGAATGCAAATGCACGAATAGACATCCTGCGGTGCGATACGCGTGAATGGCGCGGTGCGAATGACGCAAATTGCGCGAATGGCGCGGGGCGAATTGAGCGTTTTGTGCGTTTGACGTGCTTAACGAGCGTTTCGCACGAATCTCTCGATTTCGAAAATCTGAACTTCAGCAGACATTCGCGCCGCGTTAACCAATCAGAAGCTTGCTGTTGTGGGGGCGTGATTGTGACGTAGAATCCGTTGTCGGTGTTCCGGGGGAAATCCTCCAGCCTTCACCGACAACAGTTCATCAAACTCGACTTGGCTCAGTCAGAAGCACCGCTGAAAGCCTCCGTCATCCAGGTTCAGTTTCTGGAGGAGTTTATGAGCTCACAGAGCTGGATGCACCTCTGAATAGATGTAGTGGACTCAGATACGGCCCTAAACGTATCGACACTGTTTTTCAGTCTTCATAAAGCACATAAACACTGTTATTTTCTTCATAAAACCCATGTTAGCCATTAAGCTATGAAGCTAGAGTCATCGGGCAGACAAAAGCTTTGCCCATCACGCGAATCCGCGTCTGTTCTGATGTGAATTTGACGAGTGAATGAAGGGGTGTTTGACGCGCGTATGAAGCGAGTAAACTCAAATGTTCACGCGGCTATTTACGCGTGAATATCGCGATTTATCTGTGCGCTCCGCGTCTAGTGTGAACACAGCATCAGGCATATCATTTTGACATTCTTTTTGTATGTTCAGTTTTACAGTGCTTCTTTCAAGTAAAACACACTGATTGAACATCTGGTGTCTGAGTCTTTCTTGGAGGAACCTGTTAGCTATCTGCCGAGCTAGCCAGGCACAAGCACTTCAGCAGTCATCCTAGTAGGGGCAGAATAATTACAGAAATGACCCGTTCACCTGCTTATTAATCATTCATGAGCTCCTTTGTTCATATTGTTTATAGCCGGAGACATAGCCAGCATTGGTGATCCTGTAGAGCAGGGGTGTCCAAACTCGGTCCTGGAGGGCCGGTGTCCTGTAGATTTTAGCTCCAACTTGCCTCAACACACCTGCACGGATGTTTCTAGATAGTCTAGTAAGAGCTTGATTAGCTCGCCCAGGTGTGTCTGATTGGGATTGTACCTAAACTTTGCAGGACACCAGCCCTCCAGGTCCGAGTTTGGACATGCCTGGTGTAGAGGGTAAGACGTTTAGAGAAAAGATGAAAGATTAAATGGATGGATGGAATCAATAATTATTTTAATTGCAAACAAGCATAACCTGAATCAGTTTTCCTGATAAGCAGAGCATGGTGTATTACCCTGTGTGTCCGTATGTGGCGGCGGCGTGCAGAGCTCCCTGTCCACGCTGATCTCTGTGGTTCACATTAGCACCGTTCTGCAACAGAAACTCACACGCCAGCAGAGAGCCCTGAAAACACACACACACACACGTTTGTTTTTGTGAAAAGTGGGGACATTACATAGGTTTCCATTCATTTTATGCAGCACAAACCGTATATTATATTGCCCTCACGCCACCCCACCCCTAAACCCAACCATCACAGGAGACTGTGTGCAGCTTTACTCTCTGATTAAGCTCATCCTGTAGGATTTATACGTATTTTGAGAAACGAGGACGTCAACAATGTCCTCATATTTCACCTCCTTTTTGTAATACCCATGTCATACCCATGTCATTATACAGATTTGTGTCCTCATATGTCACAAAAACACGTACACACACACACACACACACACTAAATAAGAAAAACAATGTTCCACAATTTAATGTAGCACATATCACGTTGCACTACTTGTTTCTTCAACCTTAAAGGGGAAATGAAGCACTCAGTCAAGTTCACCTTATTTTGTACATTGGATTTCACGTTAACGGAGTGGTCTAGAATGTAACTTTAAGGCTTGGTTGGGTTTATAAAATGCAAAGCAATGTGTGCTCATGCTTCACTTGAAGGAAATCATTTATTTCATAAATCTTTCTTTGATGATACACAGCTACTCAGCTAACATGAAAACCACTGTCATATTTCCTAGTTCCACTGAAAGGCCCGCCCTCAAGAGCCTCTGATTGGTCATCTATCATGATGTGCTGCGATTCGCGGATAGGCTCCACGTCACGCCCCTACACTTTTTCCAAAAAATTTGGTGGAGCTACTACATGTTGGATAACTTTATTTATTTTGGATGGTGAAAGCAAAATTCTCCTACGAGAGGGATTATAGCGCCTCCCGATGGTGAATGCGGTTATACTTACGGCAGGTATTATTTGATAATTTGGTAGTTTATTTCAGGGGTTCCCAAACTTTTCAGCACGCGACCCCTAAAATAACAATGCCAGTGACTCGCGACCCCCAAAATCTTCTGAGGTGGCTATAAATACAGAAAACTTGCATGCAATGGCGCACACACACACACCAATAGACCAAAGTCTATTCTTTGTTAAATTTTTTTTATGTATGTCAGTGCTGTAAATGGGCCAGAAAGTTTAACCTGGTGTTATAAAATCAATCTGCTGCATCTTACGCTATTGCTGTCTTTAATATAATGTATTTACCACAAGGGTCGCAATCCAGTAGAACAAGTAAATAAGCTACTATAGTAACAATAAACGACTGTTATTTTCTCTTTAGTTGGTTATGGATAAAATATGGTAATTCTTATGGCCTAATAATAATAAGTAGATTTTTGGAAATCACCAGGCGACCCCCCTTCATTGTTCCGTGAGCCCTCAAGGGGTCCCGACCCCCACTTTGAGAACCACTGGTTTATTTCACTGATTTGGCAACCGTCAAACGTCATCAGGGAAACGGTTTGAATTTCCGCTTAGTAAAGAAACATTAGTGTGCCATTTGGGATGACACTACATACATACATATACTATGCTGTTGAGTAAGTGCATAAGTACATAGTGCATGAGTGTATAGTGTGCCATTTGGGACGCAGCTATTGTTTACAGTGTAGCTTGTTGTCAGACTTTCAGAGCTGCTGTCACTCACGCCAATGGCTGAGCCAATCAGAGCTGTCCGTCCCTCCTGCTCATTATTATTCCAGTTAATCTCCGCCCCCTCTGCCAGAGACTCCGCCATTGCCACCAGATCCCCGCTGACTGACGCCGAATACAGTCTCTTTCTGGCACGCAGCTTCAATGCATCTATGACACCAACAACACACAAACAACGTACAAATGCAATCAAAAATAGCCATGTTGGTTTTTGTTAGCTCACATTGCTAGTTTTCAGAAGGTGTAATGATAAAATGACTAATAAAATGTTTGTTTTTTTCGCTGCATCACCATGCATATAATCATCCACCAAACGCATAAATGAAAATTAAACTAAAAAATAAACAAACTCACCAGCATCAGGACCATCAAGATGACGTGCCACAAACCTTTTCTCCACATACTTGGACCTGATCCACTGTTCTTTATCCTGCCTGAAGACAGCGAACATGATCATTTATACATTCAACACGCTCAATAAAACAGAAGACGTGTGTGAGATTCATACCGAGGACTGCCTGCGCTGGGCTTCTGCAGGCCGTCTGCTGCCTCACGCTCATAAATACCATTAATAACTTCATTACCCAGAACACACAGCAGCTGAGGGGGCGGAGTTATGTACAGAAATCAGCCAATGGCAATAGAGAAGTGAACATGAGAGACACGGATGCATTAAATGTGAGATATTAGGATCTGGAACTTGCAATAAACCATATATATTGAAAGATATAGAGAACATATGAAACCTTTAACTGTTCAGGCTCCCAGGAATCAAGAGTGAGCGAACGAACTTTGGACAGATGAACGCCAAGACTCCTGTTAACACACACACAGACACACACACACACACACACACACACACACACACACACACACACACACACAATAATAATAACAATAAGATAAGTACTATATTACATTTTTTATATATTTCATAATTTCATATTTAATAGTACTTTATCAAATAATTCTTGCAATAAATGTAACTTGTTTATTTAAGTGTAATCATTTTATATATGAATATCATAATGTAACAAATATTATATTGTCAGTAATACCATAAAACAATAATCTGTCTCAGCCTCAGCCCTGCTTAGCTTCAGTGGGTAACTGGTCTTGGGCTAAAGGATGATACGGCTGTGGCCATTTTTTGGCCAATAGTAAGAAGTGAAAGTGAAAAAAGAAGTAAAAAAGTTCAAGTGAAGTAAAAAGTAAAGTGGAAAGTAAAGCAAAAAGTGAAGGAAAGGGAAGTGAACGGTGAAAGTGAAGTGAAAAGTGAAGTAAAATGTGAAGTGAAAGGTGAAGAGTGAAGCGAAAAGTGAAGTGAAAGTCAAGAGTGAAGTGAAAAGTGAAAGTAAAGTGAACTGAATGGTGTAACTAAAAAGAAAGTGAAGCTAAAAGTGAAAAGTAAAGTAAAAAGTGAAGTGAACGGTGAAAGTGAAATGAAAAGTGAGGTGAAAGTGAAGTAAAAAGTGAACGGTCAAAGGTGAAGTTAAAAGTGAACTGAAAAGTGAAAGTGAAGTAAAAAGTGAAGTGAACGGTCAAAGTGAAGTGAAAAGTGAAGTGAATGGTGAAAGTGAAATGAAAAGGGAAGTCAAAAGGGTTGTAAAAAGTGAAGTAAAAAATGTAGTGAAAAGTGAAGTGAACGGTAAAAGGGAAGTGAAAAGGTAGTGAAAAGTGAAGTGAACTAAAAAGTGCTGTGAAAAGTGAATTGAATGGTGAAAGGATAGTGAAAATTGTAGTGAAAAGTGAAGTGAACAATGAAAGTGAAGTAAAAAGTGTAGTGAAAAGTGAAGTGAAGTGAACTGTAAAAGGGAAGTGAAAAGGGTAGGGAAAAGTAAAGTGAACGGTGAAAGTGAAGTAAAAAGTTAAATGAACGTTGAAAGTGTAGTGAAAAGTAAAGTAAATGGTGAAAGTGAAGTGAAAAGTAAAGTAAAAAGTGAACGGTCAAAGGCAAAGTTAAAAGTGAACGATGAAAGTGAAATGAAAAGTGAAGTAAAAAGTTAAGTGAAAGGTGAAAGTTAAGTGAAGAGTGAAGTGAAAGTCAAGAGTGAAGTGAAAAGTGAAAGTAAAGTGAACTGAATGGTGTAACTAAACAGAAAGTGAAGCTAAAAGTGAAAAGTAAAGTAAAAAGAGAACTTTCAAAGGTGAAGTTAAAAGTGAACGGTAAAAGTAAAGTAAAAAGTGAAGTGAACGGTGAAAGTAAAATGAAAAGTGAGGTGAAAGTGAAGTGAAAAGTGAACGGTCAAAGGTGAAATTAAAAGTGAACTGAAAAGTGAAAGTGAAGTAAAAAGTGAAGTGAACGGTCAAAGTGAAGTGAAAAGTGAAGTGAAGTGAATGGTGAAAGTGAAATGAAAAGAGAAGTGAAAAGGGTTGTAAAAAGTGAAGTGAATGGTGAAAGTGAAGTAAAAAATGTAGTGAAAAGTGAAGTGAAGGGTAAAAGGGAAGTAAAAAGGGAAGTGAAACGTGAAGTGAACGGTAAAAGGGAAGTGAAAAGGGAAGTGTAAAGGGAAGTGAACAGTAAAAGGGAAGTGAAAAGTTAGTGAAAAATGAAGTGAACGGTGAAAGTGTATTAAAAAGTGCTGTGAAAAGTGAAGTGAATGGTGAAAGGGTAGTGAAAATTGTAGTGAAAAGTGAAGTGAACGGTGAAAGTGAAGTAAAAAGTGTAGTGGAAAGAGAAGTGAACGGTAAAAGGGAAGTGAAAAGGGTAGTGAAAAGTAAAGTGAACGTTGAAAGTGAAGTAAAAAGTGAAATGAACGGTAAAAGTGTAGTGAAAAGTGAAGTAAAAAGTAAACGGTCAAAGGTGAAGTTAAAAGTGAACGATGAAAGTGAAGTGAAAAGTGAAGTAAGAAGTGAACTGTGAAAGGGAAGTAAAAAGTGAAGTAAAAAGTTAAGTGAAAGGTGAAAGTTAAGTGAAGAGTGAAGTGAAAGGGAAGTGAAAAGTTAAGTAAAAAGTGAACGGTCAAAGATGAAGTTAAAAGTGAACTGAAAAGTGAAGTAAAAGTGAAGTAAAAAGTGAAGTGAACAGTCAAAGTGAAATGAAAAGTGTAGAAGAAGTGAAGTGAATGTGAAAGAGAAGTGAAAAGGGTAGTGAAAAGTGAAGTGAACGGTAAAAGGGAAGTGAAAAGGGTAGTGAAAAGTGAATGGTGAAAGTGAAGTGAAAAGTGAAGTGAACGGTGAAAGTGTAGTGAAAAGTGAAGTAAAAAGTAAAGTAAAAAGTGAACAGTCAAAGTGAAATAAAAAGTGAAGTGAAAAGTGAAGTGAAATGTGAAAAGTGTAGTGAAAAGTGAAGTGAACTGTGACATTGAAGTAAAAAGTGTAGTGAAAAGTGAAGTGAACGGTAAAAGGGAAGTGAAAAGGGTAGTGAAAAGTGAACAGTGAAAGTGAAGTGAAAAGTGAAGTGAACGGTGAAAGTGAAGTGAAAAGTAAAGTAAAAAGTAAAGTAAAAAGTGAACAGTCAAAGTGAAATAAAAAGTGAAGTGAAATGCGAAAAGTGTAGTGAAAAGTGAAGTGAACGGTAAAAGTGTAGTGAAAAGTAAAGTAAATGGTGAAAGTAAAGTGAAAAGTGAAGTGAAGTGAAAAGTAAAGTAAAAAGTGAACGGTCAAAGTCAAATGAAATGTGAAGAAGTGAAAAGTGAAGTGAAATGTGAAAAGTGAAAGTGAAGTGAACGGTGGAAAGTGAAGTAAAATGTGAAGTCGAGTAAAAGGTGAAAGGTGCAAGTGAAGTGAAAAGTGTAGTGAAAAGAGAAACTAAAGTGAACGGTGAAAGTGAAATGAAAAGTGATCAGTGAAAGTGAAGAAGTGAAAAGTGAAGTGAAAATGAGATGAAAAGTTGAAGAAAAAGTGAAAGTGAAGTGAAAGTGTGCTGACCTGTGGATGCCCGAACACTCGATGCACATGGTAATGCCGAGGTTCACACTGGCCCAGCGTGGCTCCGCTTCCCCACAGTCACAGCAGTGCTGGTTACCACGGCCACTCAGAGCCACGCCCAGAGCGGGTGGGTGAGAGGGCGGGTCTGGAATAGACACAGGGGCGGAGCTTTCCTTGACCTACCCATATGCAAATGACATGCAAATAAAACACCTTTAACAGCTGAATCACACTTTTTATTGTGTATTCCTTAAATATTCTCAGTCTTGTTGAGTAGAATTGTCTTCTTCCAAATACAGAGGGGAAAAATACATACTTATTCCTAACTGTGTGTGTGTGTGTGTGTGTGTGTGTGTGTGTGTGTGTGTTGTACCTGAGTGTTTTGATCAGTTACTTGATCTCGATATGCCATGTCTATACATCCCTGAACAGCATTCATCCACGCTGACTTCAGCTCCTCTGAGTCAGCCTGTAACACACAACACCTGCGCACACAAACACAAAACACACAGTCATCTCTACATAGGCATAAAATCTAACAATCTGCATCAAATGAGTGTCAGCACATTTAAGCTTTCAAGTATATTCTACAGATTTAACTGGTGCGAGAACATAAAATGTGATTATGCACAGAAAAAAAGTGTATTCTGTAGAAAATATCATTCTTTTTTTTATTTCTCAGAGTTATTCTTGATTCTCTATTAGTATGCTGTGTATGCTTTGCCTAAAGAGATTTTAAATCATTTACCTTACAGTCATTCTTTACTATATATATTTTTTTATATTCTATGCTATATTTTGTATGTTCTGTGAAATTATATGCTAACCAAAACTGGCCTTTGAGGAGATGTATTTTGCATACTAATTGGCCCACACAGAATCTGCGCACGCAGAATTCCGCAGATTTTTCGCAGATTTTCAGCAGAATTCCGCAGATTTCTGATGTTTTTTAGCCCATTATAAATTGTTTATTTACTTGAGTAAATGTGTAAATCAGAATTTATTCAGTTTTTATTCAATAATTTATTACTTTTTATTTAATATATTAAAGTGTAAGTTATGATACTCCGCTGGATACTCCCAAAATAATTCTGTAGAAATCCGCAAATTTTTACCAAAATTCTCCGCAGAAATAGCAAAAAAACTGGCCCTACTAATGAGGCATTTCGCAGAAAGAGCTATCTTGGACAAGAAATATGCAGCAGAAACAATAAAAAATATAGCTGCAAGCAGCAATTAAGGGGCCAAGCACTATTGGCCAAAAGGTGGCGCTGCTCCTGAAGTTTTTGAGTACTTTCAGGGCATGGGGTTGAAGATGCATACCATGTTTTGTAATGATATGTGAATATGTTGGTAAAATATGGCGTTTTTGGATAAAAATCGAAATGGGCGACGCCCAAAATGGCTGACCTGTGAAAATCAGACATCATTCGACTCGACGTGCTCTGCCGGATGTAAAGAGTCCCATTTTATGAGTTTCGGACGAAAGGTTGAGACGTTAAAAACCAAAAAATGAAGTTTTTTGTATCTCCGGACCACTAGGAGGCAGTGCGCCGAAACTCCGCATATAACCTCAGACCCTAGTCGTCATAACACACACCAAGTTTGGTGTGAATTGGTGAATGCGTTACGGAGATATCGCCTCAAGTCCATTTTTGCAAGCTCTACTTTAAAATTTAAATCGCAAGTTAAACGAAAACGGTTGGTCAAATCAACTTGAATTCCATAACTTTTGGTTGGCATGGTCTGTAGATCATGTGATTTAATTTTGGTGAAAATCAGAGAAACGGCCTAGGACGAGTTTGATCAAATAGGTTTTTCGAAAAATTTTAAATATCGCGAAAAAATTTTGATTGTAGCCCATTCGGTTCAAAAGTTATCATGATAAACATACCTGAATGTTTGGACAAGTGGTGGCACTAGAGAGTTTGATTTTGAGACTTCATGTTTGGTCTGATTAATGTTAAGACTGTCCTCTATCATTGTGCCAAATTATACAACTTTCCCGCATACGCCTATATAGGCTGCCATTCAAATCCGGCGGAAGAAACGGAAGAAGAAGAAGAATAATAGGAACGCTAACGGATCCAGTAGGTGCTTGGCCCCTAATAACATGCGTCTCTCACCTCTGATTTCCTGTGAAAAAGTATTGGAGCCTATGTAGGTCTCTAAGCATGTGCATTTAACTGGTCTCGTTCTTCTGTGCAGAAAAGAGGAACTGGAGACGGTGCAGAAAATCTGACAGAGACAACCCGCCTTCTCCTTCTTCTGTTTATAAAACTGGGTTTCTAGACACCGGGCAGTGCAGAGCACCTGATGTTAGTCCCGGTTAGCATTGTATAACGGCTAGACTATCTCGGTGCATGCCCCGAGCTCTGAACATCGAATTATTCATTTGTATTCAATAAATTACTAATCTTTTAAGCATTAAACAATTTCTCCTGAGTTTGAATTGAACACGCATGTAATGGAGAAAAATATTCCAACAATTCGCAGTGTTGTGTTTGATAATGTGTGTGTGTTATTTCTTCATCTTACTTCTGCACCGACAGAAGCTCGAAACAGAAACGTCGATCAATCACATCCAGAGATTTGACTGCACACAGACGCAGATCATCAAAGAGAACCACCGGCTGCTCCTACAACACACACACACACACAAATATATACATACACATCATTATACACATGGAAACGTGCATATATAGGTGGAGCATTGTAAATACTCGCGCTCGCCTCCCTCGCATTTTTTAATTAGCCTACATTAGTACCAGTTAATTTTGTAATGGTATGAACGTTAATCCAACGAAAGGCAAAAATGAATAAATAAAATAAGACCTTTGTATAGAAATCCAAGACTTTGTGTAACAAATTCAAGGCTATTAAGGCCTTAATTTGAGATTGTCAAATTTAAGACTTTTTCAATGCATTTTAAGACCCCGCAGGGACTCTGCATAGGATTGCGTACACACAGACACAAACACTCTGTAAATACAGAAAACCTGAAGTGGACAACTGCTTACCTTGTGTGATTTTAGGTAGATTAACTGATTATTTTCAGTGGAAAACCAGCACCTGAAAGATGGAAAACATTCCAGTTAAAGACTTCCGTATATATTCCAAACATATGTATCTTTAAAAACGTTAATTGTTTATTTAGTCACCCCAAATTGGTTATTTCACCTTTATTTATTAGAGATCCACCAAAAAGACACATGTAAAATCTAAATTATGAGAGTCTAAATGATTGTCAGGAGCAGAATGGCGGTCAGTCACCTCTTCCATGTCTTGTTCTTCTTGCGTGAGCGCTTGAAAAGGTAGCCTTGAATAGTTCCTCCGTCAGACGGATTACACACAATTACAGCTTCTCCAGATGCGTCCTGACAAACACACAACCGTTACCATACTAATGACACTTCACTTCTCACGTATGACTGATGAATCTCACTGAGGATCTGAGAATCCTTGTAGCAAACTGATGTGTGTGTTCATTCAAGAAAGCATCCATTCATTTGTGTAGTGTTTTAAATTTCATTAGCTTATTTTATTCAATCATCACTCATTTACATCATTATCATTATATCATTTTATTGATCATTAGTTAATGATTTGATTATTATTTGCCATGTTATTATGTTTTTATATTTTATGATTACCATTTTCCATTAATTTTGCTTTGTTATTATTTTATTTTTTTCTGTTAGTAAGAGTAAGAGATAAGAGAACGTCTCCATTTCAAGGTCTGCTGTCTCCGGGCAATGTTGTGAAGCAGTCATTTTCCTTTTCTGTTGCGTGTCGAATAATAAGTCTGAGATTAGACGAAGGCTGAGCATTGAATCATACGCAACTAAGATTATTCAATAAACTCTGCTCTTTCTTTATCATCATCGTCTCCTGCTTCTGCTTCTCTCTAGCTTTCCCAGTCAACTCCTATATTGATAGGGGATGTTATTCTGTTGAATGCTGGTTAACAGGTTTGGGTATTGAGCTGCTCCACCGGCTTGATGTCTGGATACCCAGAAAAGCAGACATTTTATGACACGATCGGCCCCCGTTTCAGAAAGGAGGTTAAGTGACAACTCAGAGTATTTTAACCCTGAAAAACTCTGGGTTTTCTGTTTCAAAACGCCTGATTTGTCAAACTGGAGAACGTAGGGTAAGTCAAGCCTGTTTCTGAAAGAGAGGTCACTTTAACTCTGAGCTAGTTACTGTGGTATCTTACTCTGTGAACTGAACCTGGTCAGGAGCAGGTTATATTCACTAAACTCTGAGGCCCCGTTTACACTAATGCGTTTTCGTTTTAAAACGTGTAAGTTTTGCTACGGTTACGCCACCATCCGTCCACACTACGCCAGAGTTTTCGAACGCCGAAAAACAGAGCGTTTTGGAAACGCTCAAGGTCGTTCTCATTCTGAAACGTTGCTGCTCTGTCTCAGTGTGGATGGGGGAAAATAGAGACATCTGGAAACGGAGGCGGGGCTGCCGAGATTCGCTACCTGATTGAGGCTTTTGTGTCATTGCGTATCCTTCCCTTATTCGTCAAGCCCCTACCACATGACAATAACACATGGCTTTAATGCTACCCGAAGACAGTACTGTAAACAACAACATGGGCACAGAAATGGAAGCGTTGTTTGCACTATTGTCTGTTTTAGGTGCCATAGTGCAGTTCTTCGTCACGTTTAGTAATTCAATTAAATTCAGCTTTATTTGTATAGCGCTTTTACAATGTAGATTGTGTCAAAGCAGCTTCACATAAATGGTCATAGTAACTGGAACAGTGTGGTTCAGGTTTTAGTGTTTAAGTTCAGTTCAGTTCAGTTTAGCTCAGTTCAGTGTGATTTAATCATTACTGAGAGTTCAAACACTGAAGAGCAAATTCATCGATGCGTAGCTCTACCAATCCTGAACCATGCGAGGCAGTGGCGACAGCGGAGAGGGAAAAAAAACTTCACCTGATGGGAGTGAAGAAAAAAAACCTTGAGAGAACCAGACTCAGTTCGGCACAACCATTTTAATTTCTCCGCTGGCCAAAAGTCTTGTGCAGAGCTTCAGTGCCGTGGCTTAGGCTGGAAGATGGCCTCAGCGAAGACTCGTCTGTCCCTGGAGCGTTGCTGGAATCAGACAACTCGACCTCGTCGTCTGTCCACAAAAATACCTCTCTTGCTTTATTTGCCATTGCGTTCAATGTTCAACCGGCGTTTGTTGACTAACAATAACCAAATGCCGAGCGAGACACAGGCTTCCTGTTTATACTAGAACGCGCATGCCCAGAGTGCGCAAATGGTCACGTGATATGCATTTTTGGTGGCGTAGTGTGAACGGAGATATGTTCAGAAACACTAGGTGAAACGCTAGTGTGGACGCGGATCGTTTTTAATCAAAAACGCCGTTTTAAAACTAAAACGCACTAGTGTAAACGGGGCCTTAGTCTCCTCGCCTTTTTAAAAGATAAATCGTTATTTCTCGCCTTAGCCTTACATTTCCATCCAGCTATTTTTATGCGCATTTTGGAGATGCACATAAAAAAAGAAAAAAAAAATCGGTTGATGGAAATGCCAAGAAGGGAATCAATTTTTAAAATGCGCATAAAAACATGTGCGCATAACTGAGTAGGATAAGCTTTTATTCGAAAAGAAAAGACGCACATAAACTGCGATGAAAACACTTTTACAATTCCAGCATGCACTTTAAAAAAAGTCATGTGATATTGTTACAAGAGATCATGTGATGATGAAACTGTGTGTGAATGGACAAACCAGCAGGCTGAGCACACTGTGACACATCTGAAATGTTGTTTTGGTCATTTTAAAACGCCGTAACCATCTCAGTATTAGTGTTATTATATTATAAATGACCTCCAGAGCGTCTGGAGCGTGTCTAAAGCGTCTGTTCTCTGCGTCTCAGGCTTTAAACTCCACCACGCGTTCACTGTGTGTCGGCATTGTCCTCTGAAGTTAAAAGTCATTTATTAAATAACGAAAAGATTCACGCAGCTTCTTCTACTGCAGTAAACTCTGTTTTTATTGTTGATATTTGGCACCAGATAATCAGGAAGTGACGATTTTGTTGTCTTTGAATCGTTGGATGGATCCACACATCTTTTATGCGTTATTCCAGATTTGCACATAAATTTAATTCGCATTATTGAATGGAAACATAGCTATTGCCTACATTTCACTCACACAAAGAACAAAGTCACGTACGAGAATGTCCTTTTTTAATAAATAATTAGCTTAAATTCACTGACCTTCGACAGGGAGTTGTACTGTAAATAGATTAATCGGATTATTACTTGTTCTAAAAACGATATTTTAGTGCTGCTTACATTCTAAATGTCACATCAACCTCCATCACATGATCAATAGAAAAGGCAGACACACATGTGCACTTTATATTATATTATTGATGACCTCCAGAATCAAGAGCGTCTGTGCTTCGCGACTCACGACTTCAAACACCACCACATGTTCACTGCATGGCATTGTCTTGTGAGGTGAAAGTCATTTATTAAATGAAGAAAAGATTCACACAGCTTCTTCTACCGCGGTAAATTCTGTTTTTACTGTTGCGCGTCATTAAAAACCATTGCGAATGACGTCAAGTCTGACACTTTCTTTTCAGAACAGACTTCAGTCCTAAACCTTAAGTCTCACACACGAGGACTCAAACAGCTTGTATATTGTCATATAGCGCAGGTACAGTTGAAGTCAGAATTATTAACCCCCCTGAATTATTATCACCCCTGTTTATTTTTTCCCCAATTTCTGTTTAATGGAGGGAAGATTGTTTCAGCACATTTCTAAGCATAATAGTTTTAAAAACCTATTTCTAATTAATGATTTATTTTATCTTTGCCATGATGACAGTAAATAATATTTTACTTGATATTTTTCAAGACACTTCTACACAGCTTAAAGTGACATTTAAAGGCTTCACTAGATTAATAAGGTGAACTAGGCAGGTTAGGGTAATTAGGCAAGTTATTCTATAAAGATGGTTTGTTCTGTACAATATCGAAAAAAAAAGTTAGCTTAAAGAGGCTAATAATTTTGTCCCAAAAATGGCTTTAAAAAAATTTCAAACTGCTTTTATTCTTGCCGAAATAAAACAAATAAGACTTTCTCCAGATGAAAAAATATTATCAAACATACTGTGAACATTTCCTTGCTCTGCTAAACATTATTTGGGAAATATATAAAAAAGGAAAAAAAAATCAAATGGGGGCTAATAATTCTGATTTTAACTGTATTTAAGCATGTTAACGAGAGCGAGAGAGCGCAATGTCTGCCACGTAAGTAATGTAAACTAATATAAAACTAGTGCAGCTACATCACATGCATAAATCACACCTACAGGTTTGCAAAAGCCAATATATCATAAAAAGATGGACAAATGAGAAGCTTTCTGTCAATAACAGCTGTGACAGATTACATACAGGAGTAGAGAAAAGAGCACTCTTTAATTATCCGCTGTTAGTCAGCGCCTGCTCTTTTTTTCCTGGTCACTGCACCTTTGCCGTGTGCTGTGTAAATGCAGACGATCAGATACGAGTCACTTTTTAAAGATGATGTAAGCAGGTCAGCAAAAAAATCAGTCACAAAATCGGAATTGACCATCAAGATCTGCAGTGTAAATGCAGCCTATGACAATATGAGAGCTGTTTGAGTCCTCGTGCTTGAGATTTAAGGTTTGGGACTCTGCTGAAGTCTGTTCTGTAATGAAAGTGTCAGACTTGACGTCATTGGCTACGGTTTTTAATGACGTGCGACTCGCATTGACAGGTGAAAATCTGATCTACCTGCTTACACTGCAGACACGAGGACACAGATCCCATTCATATCAGATAAACTTCCACACATGAACAAGGCCTGAATCTGATTTGAGTAAATATGAATCCATGTGATTTGTTCCTGCTTACATGTACACGGGCCGTATTCGATCTCTGCCACATGGGAGGAAAAAAAAAATGTGTCCATCAAAACTTTTGCAACTTGAGCATTAATATCTCTTACCCTCTGCTGGACGAGCAGGTGTGTGTTTTCCAGATCTTTCCTCTTGGCAGAGCAGTCAGTGGACAGCTGAGAGAGCTGAGCATACACACATCACACACATTCAATATAACTACATAACAACACTGTGCGCATGTACTGGGCTTTATTAAGTGTGTGTGTGTGACCTGTGAGGCCATCGTCTTCATGGTTGGTTCCAGATCTCTCAGCAAGTCAAACCCCTGGTGGAAAAATGTGTACTGAGCGTGAAAATACGAGAAGACCTGAGGGGAGAAATGAAGAGGATTGGAGTTGGGTCAAATTCATCTGAGCTTCAGATTTACAGTCAGTATTTTTCTGATTAAAGCTCACCGAATTCAGAATATCCAGCTTCTGTTGGACCTTGAAATTATTCAGCTGTCAGAAAGAAAACATAACTAAATTATTTAATCATGTTCTGAAGCAAAAAACAATAATTCAATAGCACTATAGGTGAAGTGAATAAACTAAATTGGTTTAAGTGTGTGTGTGTGTGTGCGTGTGTGTGTGTGTGAATGAGTGTGTATGGGTGTTTCCCAGTACTGGGTTACAGCTGGAAAGGCATCCGCTATGTAAAGCATATGCTGGAATAGTTGGCGGTTCATTCCACTGTGGTGACCTCTGATGAATAAAGAGACTGAGCCAAAGGAAACTGAATAAATGAATATTTGTGTGTGTGAATGAGTGTGTATGGGTGTTTCCAAGTACTGGGTTGCAGCTGGAAGGGCATCTGCTGTGTAAAACATATGCTGGAATAATTGGCGGTTCATTCTGTTGTGGCGACCTCTGATGAATAAAGGGACTGAGCCAAAGGAAACCTAATGAATGAATATTTGTGTGTGTGAATGAGTGTGTATGGGTGTTTTCCCAGCACTGCGTTGCAGCTGGAAGGGCATCTGCTGTGTAAAACATATGCTGGAATAGTTGGCGGTTCATTCCACTGTGGTGACCTCTGATGAATAAAGGGACTAGGCCAAAGGAAACTGAATTAATAAGTATTTGTGTGTGTGAATGAGTGTGTATGGGTGTTTTCCCAGTACTGGGTTGCAGCTGGAAAGGTATCCGCTGTGTAAACATATGCTGGAATAGTTGGCGGTTCATTCTGTTGTGGCGACCTCTGATGAATAAAGGGACTGAGCCAAAGGAAACCTAATGAATGAATATTTGTGTGTGTGAATGAGTGTGTATGGGTGTTTTCCCAGCACTGCGTTGCAGCTGGAAGGCCATCTGCTGTGTAAAACATATGCTGGAATAATTGGAGGTTCATTCCACTGTGGTGACCTCTAATGAATAAAGGGACTAGGCCAAAGGAAACCAAATGAATGAATATTTGTGTGTGTGAATGAGTGTGTATGGGTGTTTCCAAGTACTGGGTTGCAGCTGGAAGGGCATCTGCTGTGTAAAACATATGCTGGAATAGTTGGCGGTTCATTCTGTTGTGGCGACCTCTGATGAATAAAGGGACTGAGCCAAAGGAAACCTAATGAATGAATATTTGTGTGTGTGAATGAGTGTGTATGGGTGTTTTCCCAGCACTGCGTTGCAGCTGGAAGGGCATCTGCTGTGTAAAACATATGCTGGAATAATTGGAGGTTCATTCCACTGTGGTGACCTCTAATGAATAAAGGGACTAGGCCAAAGGAAACCAAATGAATAAATATTTGTGTGTGTGAATGAGTGTGTATGGGTGTTTTCCCAGTACTGGGTTGCAGCTGGAAAGGTATCCGCTGTGTAAACATATGCTGGAATAGTTGGCGGTTCATTCTGTTGTGGCGACCTCTGATGAATAAAGGGACTGAGCCAAAGGAAACCAAATGAATGAATATTTGTGTGTGTGAATGAGTGTGTATGGGTGTTTTCCCAGCACTGCATTGCAGTTGGAAGGGCATCTGCTGTGTAAAACATATGCTGGAATAGTTGGCGGTTCATTCCACTGTGGTGACCTCTGATGAATAAAGGGACTAGGCCAAAGGAAACCGAATTAATGAGTATTTGTGTGTGTGAATGAGTGTGTATGGGTGTTTTCCCAGTACTGAGTTGCAGCTGGAAGGGAAACCGCTGTGTAAAACATATGGTGAAATAGTTGGCGGTTCGTTCCGCTGTGGAGAACCCTGATAAATCAGGGACTAAGCTGAAGGAAAATGAATGAATGAATATTTTGTGTGTGACTAACGTGTAACTTGTGTGTAGAGTTCAGTGTGTCCGTCCAGAGTAAACAGGAGGTGAGTCAAAGCTAACATGAAGCAGCCAATCAGATTCTCTCCTGCAGGTGCTGCTAGGATGATGTCATTAAGAGGTCTGCTCCAATGCTGTTTGATTGCTGTCACTCAAAAAGACTCGGAGCATTTATTTATTCATGATCCACAGAAAATTGGACAAACATTTTGATATAGCTTGCAAAGATTATTTCCTATACTTTTTAAAGAATAAATATTTAACTTTAAAATGGGATTTTTGTGTGTTGTTAATTGCTTGTTGTGCTCAGAATGACGCCTTAAGCGTGGTTCAGTTGGCCGGTCCTGGCCCGATTGGAAGAGGTGTGCCAGAGCACAGTTCGGTTGGGCTTTAGTGCAGTACACTTGAGTGCAAAGTGCGCCTGAGCCCAAAACTGGAGACGCACTGTCACTTTTAAGGAACTGTTTCATATGCTTTCATATGCCACAGCCATATCACCCTGCAGCCCAAGACGGGTTACTCACTGAAGCTAAGCAGGGCTGAGTCTGGTCAGTACCTGGATGGAACACCCCATGGGAAAGCTAGGTTGCTGTTGGAAGTGGTGATAGTGAGGCCAGCAGGGGGCGCTCAACCTGTAGTCTGAGTGAGTCCTAATACCCCAGTAAAAGTGAAGGGGACACTACACTGTCAGTGGGCGCCGTCTTTCGGATGAGATGTAAAACCGAGGTCCTGACTCTCTGTGCTCATAAAAACCCCATGGCACTTCTCGTAAAGAGCAGGGGTGTAACCCTGGTGTCCTGGCCAAAGTCCCTCAATAGGCCCTTACAATCATGGCCTCTTAATCATCCCCATCCACCGAATTGGCTCTATCACTGTCTCTCCACTCCACCAATAGCTGGTGTGTGGTGAAGCACTGGCGCTGTTGTCCTGTGGCAGCCGTCGCATCATCCAAGTGGAGCTGCACACTGGTGGTGGTGTAAAGAGACTCTCCTCATGATTGTGAAGCGCTTTGGGTGTACGGCCATGCACAATAAATGCGCTATATAAATGCACATTACATTCCATGGGGATTTATTAATCATTCTTACTGCTCAATGAAAGCAAACTGTTGTAGTTTATTAAAGACGCAAACCCCTCACTGCACCTTCAGCAAACCTCGGAATACCTGCAGCACGAGGACTTTATGAAGGTTTATGGGTGTCGAAAGTGGCTGATCTGTTCAGCAAAAGATTTAACTGTGTGTCACTGCATCCCAAATGACCAAACATACTACAAAACCATATAACTAAAGCTATCTCCACCATGCTGAGTGAGAGCACTTCTCTTCCTACACATACAGAACATAAAATAGTAAAATCCTCTTCAGCTTAACCTCATGAAAACGGAAATGCTTGAAGTTTCTGCCAACCCAACTCCACATCATAACTTCTCAATCCAGATGGACGGGGCAACCATTACTGCATCTAAAACGGTGAAAAGCCTTGTAGAAACGATTGATGACCAGCTAAACTTCTCTGAGCACATTTCTAGAACTGCTCGATCTTGCAGATTTGCACTCTATAACATCAGAAAGGTCCGACTCTTCCTATCTGAACATGCAGCTCAACTCCTTGTTCAAGCTCTTGTTCTCTCCAGACTGGACTATTGCAACTCTCTACTAGCCGGGCTTCCAGCTAACTCTATCAAACCTCTTCAGCTGCTTCAGAACGCAGCAGCACGAGTGGTCTTCAATGAAGGCAAGGCAAGTTTATTTATATAGCACATTTCATACACAGTGGCAATTCAAAGTGCTTTACATAAACATGAATAAAAAAGACAAGTTTAGGAACATAAAATGCAGACAATAAAAATGATTAAAAACAGATTAAAAACTATTTAAAATGAGTTAAAATAGGTTATAAAAGAATGAAAAAGAAAACGAAAAACATAATAGCGCGATCTGTCGGACGCAGCACAGTGCTCATTCAGTAAAGGCACAGCTAAACAGATGTGTTTTCAGTCTCGATTTGAATGTGCCTAATGTTGGAGCACATCTGATCATTTCTGGAAGCTGATTCCAGCAGCGGGGGGCGCAGTGGCTGAAGGCAGATTCACCCTGCTTTGACTGAGCTCTTGGAGTTTCTAGTTTATATGATGTTAAAGATCTGAGTGATCTGTTAGGTTTGTATTCAGTCAGCATATCTGTGATGTATTGAGGTCCTAGGCCATTTAGTGATTTATATAATACTTTAAACTCTATTCTAAATGTAACTGGGAGCCAGTGTAGAGACCTGAGGACAGGTGTGATGTGCTCTGATTTCCTGCTTCTGGTCAGAATCCTGGCTGCAGCGTTCTGGATGAGCTGCAACTGTCTGACTGTCTTTTTAGGAAGGCCAGTGCGGAGACCGTTACAGTAATCCACCCTGCTGCTGATAAAAGCATCAACAAGTTTCTTTAAATCTTCACTGGAAACAAAGCATCTGATTATTGCAATATTTTTAAGACGATAGTATGCTGATTTACTAACTGCTTTGACCTAAAAGAGCACATGTCACTCCGCTGCTCATCCGTTTGCACTGGCTGCCAGTTGCTGCTCGCATCAAATTCAAAGCTCTGATGTTTGCTTACAAAGCGACTTCTGGCTTTGCTCCTTCTTATCTGCTCTCACTTCTGCAGATGTATGTGCCCTCCAGAAACTTGCGTTCTGTGAATGAACGTCGCCTCGTGGTTCCATCCCAAAGAGGGAAGAAATCACTGTCCCGAACTCTCGCGTTCAATCTGCCCAGTTGGTGGAATGAACTCCCTAACTGCATCAGAACAGCAGAGTCACTCGCTGTCTTCAAGAAACCACTAAAAACTCATCTATTTACTCTCCACTTCACTTCCTAATCTGCAATTGCCTCTCTGACTCCACCACTAACTGTATTACAAAAAATAAAAAATTACTAATGTTTTGCTTCCTACACTTTGCATACCTGAATCTCGCCTACAGCACTTATTCATTGTTGCTCTTATAGTTGTGTAAATTGCTTCCTTGTCCTCACTTGTAAGTCGCTTTGAATAAAAGCGTCTGCTAAATGACTAAATGTAAATGTAAAATGTGCAAAACAAAACTAGTTTCATATACATTTTATCCATTATTACAAATATCCATTCTCTTAAATGAATACATTCATTTAAATTAATAGCTTATTAAACTGTAATGCAAACGGTGTACTATGAGCAGTGTTAATCACCTGCAGGCAGTAATCCAGAGCGAAGTGTTGATAGCATTTGCGCGTGGCGAGCAGCAGGTGCGTCGCTCTTTCTGCATCCACAGGTTTGTGTCGACTGACCTGAGCGTTCTTCACCACCGCAGAATCAAGATCATCTCCGATCCGCACAAACTCACGCCGCGTTTCCCGAATCTGCGGGACAAACCTGACACAGAGCAAACCATCACACAAGTACAACTGTTCACCCTCCAAGGTAGTTTCCTTGTCAAATATTTCCCAAATGATGTTTAACAGATTCAGGAGTTTTTTACAGTATTTCCTCTAATATTTGCTTTATTTCGGCTAGAATAAAAGCAGCTTTTTATTTTTTTAAACCCATTTTAAGGTCAATATTATTAGCCCCCTTAAGCAATATTAGTTTTAGATTGTCTCCAGAACAAACCACTGTTAAACAATCACTTGCCTAATTACCCTGATTAACTTAATGAACCTAGTGAAGCCTTTAAATGTCACTTTAAGCTGTATACTAGTGTCTTGAAGAATATCTAGTCTAATATGATGTGCGGTCTAAAGCTAAAGCACAAAATGATGGGAAATGTTGACTCTGCTAGTGTTTTCAAAAGTTTAACAATAAGTTAAGGAAGAATTAGTAATAAAATCAAATGTTCCTTATTAAACTTAAGCATCTTACATGAATGGTGTATTCAGCTTAGTGTAAATTATACATTTGTTGTATATCGTTCCTGTTTAAAGAATATGAATGGACATGCTTGACTTGTAAAATACAGCAAGAGTTTATTTTTATAAGAGAAAACGGTTTCAGTCTTTCTTTTTCAAAAACATTTCATGTTTAAGCCAATGTGTTACTTGTTATTTCTTTTCTTTATTTATTTATATATATAAAAAAAAGTACAAATAATTTGGCATTTAAAACGCACATCACCAACAGGCAATAAAACATAACAGTAAAATATAATAAAAAATGCTAAATAAAATATATTACACTTTAGATAATAATATTACAAAATAATAATAATAATAATAATAATAATAATAATAATAATAACAGCAACAACAAAAACAACAACAATAATAATAATAACAATAATAATAATAATAATACTAACAATAGTAATAATAATAATAATAATAATAATAATAACAATAATATTAACAGCAACAACAAAAACAACAACAATAATAATAATAATAATACCAACAATAGTAATAATAATAACAAAAACAACAACAACAACAATAATAATTATAATACCAACAATAGTAATAATAATAATAACAATAATAACAACAATCATAATAATAATAATAATAATAATAATAATAATAATACTAAAAATAACAATAATATTAATAACAATAATAACAATAACAATAGTAATAATAATAATAACAACAACAATAATAATAATAATAATAATAATAATAATAATAATAATAATAATAATAACAATAATAATAATACCAATAATAGTAATAATAATAATAATAATAATAACAGCAACAACAAAAACAACAACAATAATAATAACAATAATAATAATAATACCAACAATAGTAATAATAATAATAACAATAATAATAATAATAACAAAAACAACAACAATAATAATAACAATAATAATAATAATACCAACGATAGTAATAATAATAATAATAATAACAATAATAATAATAAAAATAACAATAATAATAATAACAATAATAATAATAGTAATAATAGTAATAATAATAATAATAATAATAATAACAATAATAATAATAACAACAACAACAATAATAATAATAATAATATTATAATACAATAATGCAATATCTACAACAAAACTATGAAATAAAAACAAAAAAATGCATTAATCATGATGGCAAAATGTCTATAAAGTCCCATATGAACTGATGGGTTTTGTCACATACTGTGAAAGCAGGTTTGTGAGCTGTTGGCTGATGGCTCTCTGTGTCTGATCAAACAGCATCTGCAAAACACACACACACACACATCACTGTTATTGAACAAAGAAACCCAGATCACCTCCAGAACGGACTCATTTTTATTATATTCTTTCATTGTATGTTTATATTTGTGTCTAGCAGAATAGCAAAGTTTCAATGCACATATTATTATGGAAACTTGAGAATGTCATATAAAACCTGCTCAATGCAAACACTGAGATCCGAATCCATTTTTAAAATGCGCATAAAAAAACATATGTGCACCGAGTATGATTAACTTTGCATCCGATAAGAACAAATGAGCATGAACTATAATGGAAACCCATTTTACTGGATAAATTCCAGCATGAACTGCTGACGATTATTGAAATGATTTAAATGCAGCCAATCAGAATTAGGAAAAGCAAGACATTTTTGACATTTTGACTAGAAACAAGACAAAACCGATAAGAAAAGCTTTTTATGAGCATTTAAAGCTCTGCCGTGGCTCTTTTTGTTTGACGTCGACTAGTTGTGCTGCAGATCATGTGGCTTTTAAAGTGAAGTGAACTTCATTGCATGTGTAAAATCCTCCTCTGTGAATGTGGTGAAGATGTGCAGCGAGGAGACGTCTGATAACCAAGATAAGCCAGTAACTGCGAAAAATGTCTGACTTGAGCAGGATTTTGTGCAGCTTTCGGTAAATAGCGGTAAAATATGCGCTGTGTGCTGATGATGAATGCATTAAAATATCTGTTGTTGATCCGTTCTTACTCGAACATGCAGTCATCGATGTGTTGCATTTATTGAGCAGATGAACTAGCCCGGGTGCTGATGCTGCGTTATTAAAAAAAAACGTGTGTTGACTGTGCATTTGTTTTGAACTGAAATGAGTCATTAGTAATGTTGCATTGCTTTTGCAGCGTGTTATGAGCTCTAAAACAGCTGGTGCAAATATTTCCTGCAAATTAGTAGCAAGTTGTGGCATGTTGCAAAACAATTGCATCTTGTGTTTTATCGATGACTTCACCAGTGACTAGTCGACGGTGACTTGACAGTGATAACATTACATAAAAGTCGATTTTAAACATATCTGAAGTCATTCAACCCCTACGACAGACACACGCACACATACATACATCCATGCATACATACATATATACAGTTGAAGTCAGAATTATTAGCCCCCCTGTTTATTTTTCCCCAATTTCTGTCTTACAGAGAGCAGATTTCTTCAACACATTTCTAAGCATAATAACACACCAACAGACAATGCCCATTTATAACAATGCAACGCTAAATAATAATAAAAATAAATAAATAAAAAATAAATAAAAATAAAATAATAATAATAAATAAATAAATAAATAAAATAATAATATTAAAAAATTATTATTATTAATTAATTAATAAATAGAATATGTACATATATGCATAATAAAACTACAATATATATATATATATATATATATATATATATATATATATATATATATATATATATATATATATATATATATATATACACATACATACACACAAAAGCATAATAATTTTAATAACTCATCTCTAATAACTGATTTATTTTATCTTTGCCATGATGACAGTAAATAATATTTGACTAGATGCTTTTAAACATACTTCTATACAGCTTAAAGAGACATTTAAAGGCTTCACTATGGTAATTAGGCAGGTTAGGGTAATTAGGCAAGTCATTGTGTAATGATGGTTTGCTCTGTAGACAGTCGAAAATAATATTGCTTAAAGGGGCTAATAATATTGAGCTTAAAATGGTTAATAAAAAATTAAAAACTGCTTTTATTCTAGCCGAAATAAAGCAAATAAGACTTTCTCCAGAGGAAAAAATATTATCCGACACACTGTGAACATTTCCTGAATCTGTTCAACATCATTTAGGAAATATTAAAAAAGAGAAAAAAATGTAAAGGGGGCGAATAATTGTGACTTTAACTGTACACACACACACTGACCGTCTGAAACTGGATCATCTCCTGCAGGCCCTGGTTAAACTGGCGCAGGCAGTTCTGCAGAAACACAAGCAGGTTTTATTTAGTGAACACATTTTTAGTCACTGTGAGAGTCTCCTGATGCTGGAGCAAGTTTAATAACATTTTTAAATGAGTTTTTAATTGTTTTGATGCTAATTTGTACATTGTCTGTCAATGTTCAGTTTAGTTTTGGCTAGTTTAATTGATGGTTGATTTACAGTTTTAGTTTAGTTTTTATTTTGTGAACACATTTATTTATTTAGAGTTTATAGATTTAGTTTCAGTAAGTGGGCGGCTCAGTGGTTAACACTGTGGCCTCACAGCAAGAAGGTGGCTGGTTCGAGTCTCGGCTGGGTCAGTTGGCATTCCAGTGTGGAGTTTGCATGTTCTCCCCGTGTTGGCGTGGGTTTCCTCCAGGTGCTCCGGTTTTCCCCAACAGTCCAAACAAATGCGCTATAGGGAAACTGATCAACTAAATTAGCCATAGTGTATCATGGTGTGTGTGAATGAATGTGTTTCCCAGTACTGTATTGCGGCTGGAAGGGCGTCCGCTGCGTAAAGCATATGCTGGAATAGTTGGTGGTTCATTCTGCTGTGGCGACCTCTGATAAATAAGGGACTAAGCCGAAGGAAAATGAATAATTTATAATAATAAAAATAATAATAATTTTTATTGTATTTCAGTTAATCTTTTTTTTCACTAATAGAATTACTCTATATTTAATCAGGCATGTGATCAGCTGAGGACAAAAAGGAGTAAGACAAGACCCCGACCCCCTTAAAAAAATAGTGACTTGAGTAATATTAAATATTAGGTTTATACTTTGTACTTCAATGTTGGGGCAGATCCACACACCGTCACTAGATGGCGCCACTAACTCAGTTAGTTCTCTTGTATCCACAAAATATAACTTTGCCTGTAATTTAGCCGACTCTTTATTCCAACATATTGTAAACTGTAAAAATATTAAGTCCAGTTGAATTGAGCAGCCTAATATACCTGAAAATAAACTTACATATCGCTAAGAAGGACTTATCACTTTCACTTTTTTTCAGTCCCGATTTTTAATAGTTTTAATCAATTATAAAATGCATTTGTATAAATTTGTAGCATCATCTAAACTTATGACACTTTCAGGTATTAAATTTGAGGTGCCCTGCTGTAGCACTGAATTAATGAAGACATAAACAGGGCTCGAAATTGCGACCATTTTGGTCGTATATGCGCCCGAAAATTAATCTATGCGACCTCATGATATATTTGGGCGCATTAGTGCGACTGCTGATAATGGTTGTGGTGTAGTTTTGATTTTTTGTAAAAACGTGCTGAATCGCTCTTCCCTGCCGCTATATTGGTTCATATAAGCTGTCATTCACTCAAGGTATTCCGCTGTCAGATGACAGGGAAGGAGCTTTTATGACCACAGGAAATGCAAACGGCTAAAGAGTAAAAACTTAAAGCACACAGGTTTGCAAACACCACCTAAAGTTGAGGCGCAGATGAAAGCGATCATGACACGTCACGTGGTGAATAATGATCCGCCAGCTGAGATCAATCGAGTACGCGCTTCTTGGAGAAGGTGCCCGAATCTCCATGCGTTGCATTCACTGCGTGTTCAGCGCAAATGTCCGCTAAAAGTCAAATCTAATACTGTACATATCATCGCCGAAGAAGCTTAACATTTAAATTGACACAAACTGAAACCAAAACTTTTAAAGAGTGATAGAAGTGAGACTTTACTTACTTTCTTTTGTCTATTCTTTTTTGAGGTGTATATTATTTATTTATTTATTTACTGATGACTGCTTTGCAGCTTTCATCATTGAATTAAATGATTTATTATAATCTTTTGTTTGTTTTGTAGCAGAAATATTATTTATTAAATTGACATGCATATAAAAACAGCAGTACAAAATCAATATTTCTTACTGCAATGCTTCATTTTTGTTTGATGCAAACTATACAATTATTTTTCATAAAGTAACAGACTTTTTATAGCAGATAACCTACATTCATGCACATTCAAGGCAGCATCATAATGAGAAATGCAATTCATTGTTACTATTATTGTCATTTTCATCATCATTAATATTCTAGAATTATTAGACATTCATTTTGGAATTATTGCACACAAATATCAACGTCTTCGCAGCATTAGTTAGATAGTTGTTTCTGGTTTTTGTCAGTCCTATTAATGTTGTTTTAAAATCCAATAAATCCCTTCAAAAACAATTTGCAGCGGTGCTCATTCATTTTTGGTGGGTGCTCCTAAAAAATTTTTGGTGCTCCTAAATATTTGAAGTTGGGAGCACCGGTGCTACCAAGTAAAAAAAGTTAATTTCGAGCCCTGATAAAGACAGATGACTAATAGCAAATGTGCATCCTGCAGCTTATTTATAATGTACACAGAGCGCACGTGGTCGTGACATGCAAATGTGAGCACGAATAAACTGTGCACAGGACTACACAATATCATTATATTATATACACAGTAGACTAGGTAGGTGTACAATTACATCCCTAAAATATGCCCAGAATGAAGCTTGATGAATGCTTTGATAACAATGGAGACACCCCCCAAATTACGCAAATTACAGGGTTTGTGTTTGAAAAATAGGGAAATACGAAAGAAGCACACCCCTGTAATGAAACAAGCTTGTGTTGGAGAGTGTCATTGGTCTGTGCTGCTCACCAGAATCACACCGTCACTCTTATGATACGCGGTGAACTCGCTCAGTGCGCAGAGGAAAAGCTGATTGCAGGAGGTGTAATTCTGACCCGCGTCCACCATCTGACCACACAACTTCATCACCTGACACACACACACACACACACACACACACACACACACACACACACACACACACACACACACACACACACACACACACACACACACACACACACACACACACACACACACACACACACACACACACACACACACACACACACACACCAACAGGAATTAACCATATAAAACGCAAAACAAATCTGGAGGAAATCATTTAGTTTTGTTCTTTTGATGAAAACCATGAAAACTGCAACTATCAGAATCTTTACCATATATAAAAGCTGCTCATTTCACATGCAAATGATAAATTCTGTTAAAAATTGTGCACAAAATGTTATATATATATATATATATATATATATATATATATATATATATATATATATATATATATATATATATATATATATATATATATACATAAAAAACTAAATATGACCAAAATATGAATGCTTTGCCAAATAAAGTCACTAGCATAAACAAATATAAACTAAAATTTTTAACTATTACTATGTATACTATAAAACATTACAAACATTTAAACTAAAATATAGTAAAAAAAACATGATTATACAAAAATGTAAATAAAAAATAATAATTCATGACTGTATTAAAATATATAAAAATATAACAGAGAACATATAACCATGAAGAAAAAATATATTAATAATGCCTATAATAATGTACAATTCTAAAAACATGAACTGAAAATAAACTATGAAACATGCAGATTACGATACAGAATAAAATACGATGAACAAAATGTCTATCATTTTAAGCAAACCTCAGTGGGGAAAAAACAAATCTATGATGAATATCTTACTTTCTCCACACGACTCTCCAGTTCAGACATGTCACTCTCACATTTATCCAGAGACTGCCTGAAAACACACACACACAAACAACACATGGGTGCTTTATAGGGACTCTCCATAGCAATATTAATAATGTTTCCACTCTACAGAATATTGCGTCCTTTACCCCAACATTTCAATTAAACCTAAAACTCACAGGAAACAAACACTAGTTTTAGTTAAAGTTAATTAGTTATAAGTTATTAGTAACTAATAAAGTAATGATAACTAATAACCTTCACATTGCTGGGTTGGATTGTAATGCAATAATGTGCACCTTTTGTGAAGCTGCTTTGAAACAATAATTACAGTGAAAAATGTATTAAATAAATAAATAAAAATCCCAATACAAATAAAGTTGAATTAAACAGAATTAAACATCACCTATATACTATATTACTGCAGGTTAACTATGTTTATATAATAATACATTTAACTGTTAAAACTATTAGTAAATAATAGACATTGAGATGTTTTTTTTCCTGCAATATACAGTTGAAGTCAGAATTATTCGCCCCCTTTTGATTTTTTTTTCTTTTTTAAATATTTCCCAAATTATGTGTAACAGAGCAGGAAATGTTCACAGTGTGTCTGATAATATTTTTTCTTCAGGAGAAAGTCTTATTTGTTTTATTTCGGCTAGAATAATAGCAGTTTTGAATTTTATAAAAACTATTTTGGGACAAAATTATTAGCCCCTTTGAGCAAATTTTTTTTGATAGTCTCCAGAACAAACCATCATTATAGAATAACTTGCCTAGTTCACCTTATTACCCTAGTGAAGCCTTTGAATGTCACTTTAAGCTGTATAGAAGTGTCTTTAAAAATATCTAGTCTAATATTATTTACTGTCATCATGACAAAGAGAAAATAAATCAGTTATTAGAAATAGTTTTTTTAAACTATTATGCTTAGAAATGTGCTGAAACAATCTTCCCTCCATTAAACAGAAATTAGGGGGAAAAATAAACAGGGGTGCTAATAATACAGGGGGGCTAATAATTCTGACTTCAACTGTATATTGTGATATGAATTCAATTTCAACAGATGGCTTCAATAGCTCTATTTGAAAAGAAATCATTATTTTAGATCGACTGGGGTGATTTCATAGGGGTGTAATAAAAATCCCAATACAAATAAAGTTGAATTAAACAGAATTAAACATCACCTATATACTATATAACTGCAGGTTAACTATGTTTATATAATAATACATTTTACTGTTAAAACTATTAGTAAATAATAGACATTGAGATGTTTTCTTTTCTGCAATATACAGTTGAAGTCAGAATTATTCGCCCCCTTTTGATTTTTTTTTTCTTTTTTTAAATATTTCCCAAATGATGTTTAACAGAGCAGGGAAATGTTCACAGTGTGTCTGATAATATTTTTTCGTCTGGAGAAAGTCTTATTTATTTTATTTCGGCTAGAATAATAGCAGTATTGAATTTTGTAAAACTATTTTTGGGGCAATATTATTAGCCCCTTTGAGCTAATTTTTTTGTTTGATAGTCTCCAGAACAAACCATCATTATAGAAAAACTTGCCTAATTACCCTAACCTGCCTAGTTCACCTTATTAACCTAGTGAAGCCTTTAAATGTCACTTTAAGCTGTGTAGAAGTATCTTGAAAAATATCTAGTCTAATATTATTTACTGACATCATGGCAAAGAGAAAATAAATCAGTTATTAGAAATAGGTTATTAAAACTATTATGCTTAGAAATGTGCTGAAACAATCTTCCCTCCATTAAACAGAAATTGGGGGGAAAAATAAACAGGGGGGCTAATAATTCTGACTTCAACTGTATATTGTGATATGAATTCAATTTCAGCAGATGGCTTCAATAGCTCTATTTGAAAAGAAATCATTATTTTAGATCGATTGGGGTGATTTCATACGGGTGTAATAAAAATCCCAATACAAATAAAGTTGAATTAAACAGAATTAAACATCACCTATATACTATATAACTGCAGGTTAACTATGTTTATATAATAATACATTTTACTGTTAAAACTATTAGTAAATAATAGACATTGAGATGTTTTTTTTCTGCAATATACAGTTGAAGTCAGAATTATTCGCCCCCTTTTGATTTTTTTTTCTTTTTTTAAATATTTCCCAAATTATGTTTAACAGAGCAGGAAATGTTCACAGTGTGTCTGATAATATTTTTTCTTCTGGAGAAAGTCTAATTTGTTTTATTTCGGCTAGAATAATAGCAGTTTTGAATTTTATAAAAACTATTTTGGGACAAAATTATTAGCCCCTTTGAGCTAATTTTTTTGATAGTCTCCAGAACAAACCATCATTATAGAATAACTTGCCTAGTTCACCTTATTACCCTAGTGAAGCCTTTAAATGTCACTTTAAGCTGTATAGAAGTGTCTTGAAAAATATCTAGTCTAATATTATTTACTGTCATCATGACAAAGATAAAATAAATCAGTTATTAGAAATAGTTTTTTAAAACTATTATGCTTAGAAATGTGCTGAAACAATCTTCCCTCCATTAAACAGAAATTAGGGGGAAAAATAAACAGGGGTGCTAATAATACAGGGGGGCTAATAATTCTGACTTCAACTGTATATTGTGATATGAATTCAATTTCAACAGATGGCTTCAATAGCTCTATTTGAAAAGAAATCATTATTTTAGATCGACTGGGGTGATTTCATAGGGGTGTAATAAAAATCCCAATACAAATAAACTTGAATTAAACAGAATTAAACATCACCTATATACTATATAACTGCATGTTAACTATGTTTATATAATAATACATTTTACTGTTAAAACTATTAGTAAATAATAGACATTGAGATGTTTTGTTTTTCTGCAATATATATTGTGATATGAATTCAATTTCAGCAGATGGCTTCAATAGCTCTATTTGAAAAGAAATCATTATTTTAGACCGATTGGGGTGAGTTTATTGACCTTATTCTAAAATGTGGAAGTGCGCCTGTTTTCGCGATTGAACTTCCGATTCAGTCGCCTATGGGAGAAATGACTAGGAATAATAAACGGCAGAAAACGGTTAAACTACTTGCTCTACAAACAAATGTTTGCATGACTACACAGACCAAGTAGAATAATATAATAAGAAAATATCAAATTGCAACATCAAGCAGCGTAACGAGCAGTTTTTAATGTCTAAAAATGAATGGAAGTGAATGAGACCGGAAGTCTCAATCCAATAAGATTTAAATGGCAGCGCCCGCTCGTCGGCGGAGAATAAGATCAATAGGGGTGTAAACCATGTATTAAAAATAATAAACAAATTTCTAGCAAAATAAATACAGTAGAGCAATGAAAAAAGTAAAACAAACGGTGCTCTATGGTTTTCCTGAGAGTCAAACAGTATTCAGGTGGAGAAGCTGTACAGTCTTTGTATTAATTCAGTAAAAGTACTCTTTATTACAGTTGCTAATGTACTTTTTTTTTGTGCCTAAATGCTTTAAACCAGGGGTCACCAATCCTGGTCCTGGAGGGCCGGTGTCCCTGCAGGGTTTAGCTCCAACTTCCTCAACACACCTGCCTGGATGTTTCAAGTATACCCAGTAAGACCTTGATTAGCTTGTTCAGGTGTGTTTGATTAGGGTTGGAGCTAAAATCTGCAGGACACCGCCCTCCAGGAACAAGTTTGGTGACCCCTGCTTTAAACTCTAATGCCTTTAAAACACATGCAAATGATAACGTTTCACTCTGTTATGGTTATACTTTACAATGACTCCACAAATCTTGTGTATTCTCAGCTGTTGTGCTGATCAACCATACACTCCCTGACAAAAGTCTTGTGGTGGATCTCCTTTGTAAGAGCAGCAAGTAATATCTTGTCTTCTAGTTGATCGTGTGTGAAAGTGTCAGAAGGTGGATTTCTCTGCTGAATCATCTGTTGATCTGCATCAATCATCACCAATACTGCAGAAGACCTACTGGAACCAGCATGGACCAAGATCCTCACAGTCATCAGTCAAGTTTGGTGAAGGACACATCATGGTTTGGGGTTCACTCAGTATGTGGGCGTGCGAGAGATCTGCAGAGTGGATGATCAACATCAACAGCCTGAGGTATCAAGACATTTGTGCTGCCTATTACATTACAAACCACAGGAGAGGGACAATTCTCCAGCAGGATAGCGCTCCTGCTCATACTTCAGCCTCCACATCAAAGCTCCTGAAAGCAGAGAAGGTCAAGCTGCTCCAGGATTGGCCAGCCCAGTCACCAGACATGAACATTATTGAGCATTTCTGTGACAAGATGAAGGAGGTGTTGAAGATGAACACAAAGACTCTTGATGAGCTCTGGGATCCTGCTGAAGGCTTTCTTCTTCATTCCAGATGACTTTATTAATCAGTGATGTGAGTCATGTCAGAGATGTATGGATGCAGTCCTCCAAGCTCATGATGGAGTCAGACACAATATTCATTCTGTCTCCACTGCAGCAGGACTTTATATTCTATACTGGACATTATTTCTGTTCAGTGATGAGACTTTAAGCAGAGTCAGACCGCACTGTCCTCATCAAATCAGTCAATATCAAGACATGATCAGATTTTATTGAGCTCAAATAAGCAAAATCTAGAGGCCTCTGCCTTTCATATACGACACTTCTGACACCAAATCATCAACTACAAGTCCAGTTATTATTTGCTGTTCCTAAAACTTGGATAGACCACAAGACTTTTGTCAGGTAGTGTAATACCAACTCAACATAGCAGATCATGCGATGTGACTATTGCAGGCACTTACATTGCAATATCAATGCTGAAACTATGTATTGTGCAGCGCTAATGTGCAATTAGTTTTAGTTAATTAGTCAACATTATTAGTAACTAATAAAGTTATAGAAGCATTTCTGATTGTAATGCAGTAACGTGCACCATTTGTAGAGCTGCTCTGAAACAATATTTACTGTGAAAATAAACATATATAACGACAAAAATACATGTATGTATGTATGTATGTATGTATATATATATATATATATATATATATATATGTCTATAATGTCAACCTTGCCATGAAAAGAAAAATGTTTTCACCAAAATAGCGAAACTGTTTCTACATTTTTTGCGCAGGCAAGTGTTTTACAGTACTTTGAAAATACTTAAAAATGTCTCTGTCAATGTTTTCAAACTATTATATTTGATTTACCAAAGTCAAACAAATGGCAATTTCACATCCGTCACATCCATAACGAAAAAGTGTCACATCCATAACACAGCTTTTCCCTCAAAAATGCAATTATGTCAAAATAAAATAAAATCAATCAGTTTTGTTCTATAAAGAGCCAACTCTTATCCTTTTGTTGAGCATTATTTATTTTGGGTTGTGTAGTTTAATTCACAGAATTTCTACGAAATATGTTGTATACTGTAAACTCGCAGACTTTTTTGTCACATCCATAACGCTTATTTATTTTCCTCATTTAAAGTATAAACATGTTCACAGATTGAATTTTTTTGATCCCATAACTCTGTGGTTAGTTGTTTTGGAAAATATAAACAGATGGTTCAATATAATGTTAACATACTTTCTCTGCGAATTTATGTTTTGAATTTTTACTGCAAATGTCACATCCATAACGCTGGAATCAGCCATATATATATATATATATATATATATATATATATATATATATATATATATATATATATATATATATGTATGTATATGTATGTGTGTGTGTGTGTGTATATATGTATGTGTGTGTGTGTGTGTGTATATATGTATGTATATGTATGTGTGTGTGTGTGTGTGTGTGTGTGTGTGTGTGTGTGTGTATTTATATATAGCTACACAGACATCACCTACTGTGGAAAAGCGCTATACAAAAATACTTGATTTGAACATAATCACATATATACTAAATAACTATAATAATTACTATATTTATATAAAATAACTTAAACTGTTAAAGTTATTAGCAATTGCTTTTTAGTGAATTAAATAAAGTTACGAGTAACTAATAAAGTTACAGTATAATATAATAATGAGGTGCAATAATGTGCACCTTTAGTGAAGATGCTTTGAGACAATAATTACTGTAAAAATCGCTTTACAAATAAGCCTGAATTGAACACCAACCTATATAAAGTTAATGTAACTAGTAATTAGTTTTAGTTAATTAGTCAACATTATTAGTAACTAATAAAGTTATAGTAGCATTTCTGATTGTAATGCAGTGGCGTGCACCATTTGTAGAGCTGCCCTGAAAGAATAATTACTGTGAAAAGAGACATATATAGCAAAATATGACAACAAACATACAAATAAACTTGAATTTAATTAACTATTGCATTTTTATTTAACTGAAATGAATTTATTTGATACCTGAATGCAGGAGAGTCTCTGATACAGTCCTCGAAGTCCAAAAAAGTGTCCATTCTGAGTGTGTATGTGTGTTAATGCGTGTGTTTTAGTGTGTGTGTGTGTTTAATTTGCAGGCCTGAATAGCATCATCTCTTCCTCATCATCATCATCATCATGAGCCGTTATTTCTCATCCTCCTCCGCTCCTCACAAACACACGCTGAATATAACGATGATAATAATGACACACACTCCGCTACAACACACTCGTTTACTGTAAGAAATTGTTTACAGTTGTCTTGAGGTGTGTGTGAGTGTGTTGACAGCTGCTGAGGTGTTTGCTCGTGTTGATATGAGGTAAACTTCCGTTGGCGGATATCATCCGTGTAGAGGGGATGTCCGTGACATTTCAAAATAAAAGCACGGATGGTATTGAATGATTTTCAGCACAGTAGCGTACATATGTCATATATTCAAAAGGAGAACAAAATCAATTGAAAAAATTGTAATAAAATGAATAAATTATGAGAAATAATAAAATGACTAAAACAAAATATGTTTCGGTGGGTTTAACAAGAGTTTATCTTAATTATTATTGTAAATTCTGTATTTTCTTATTGTTTTATTGTATATTCTGCAGCAACATGATGATATTCACACCAAATTTCCTTTCAAGGACAATAGTGTACTACCACAATAATTACTAGTACTACTAAAATTAATTAAAATATAAAATTAAGAAATTCAACAAGTGTAGAAATCTAATCATTCATTCATTTTCTTGTCAGCTTAGTCCCTTTATTAATCCGGGGTCGCCACAGCGGAATGAACCGCCAACTTATCCAGCACGTTTTTACGCAGCGGATGCCCTTCCAGCCGCAACCCATCTCTGGGAAACATACACACACACACATCATACACTACAGACAATTCACCTGTACCGCATGTCTTTGGACTGTGGGGGAAACCGGAGCAAACCCACGCGAACGCAGGGAGAACATGCAAACTCCACACAGAAACGTCAAATGAGCCAAGGCTCGAACAGCGACCTTCTTGCTGTGAGGCAACAAAACTACCTACTGTGCCACTGCTTCACCGAAATGAAATCAAATGAAAGTAAATTAAATTACAATCAAACTAAATAGAATGACAAATAAATAATAATAATATTAAGTAATAACAATATAAACTAAGCAAAACGTAATCTGTCATATTTAATAATATAAATATAATAAAAATATAAGATACATTAAATAAATATGAACTAAAAGATAAAATATATGAAAAATATTTACTTATATCAAAACTATATAAAATTTTATAGTTTTAAAAAATTTATTAAAAAAATAATCATAAACGAAATCACATACAGTGAATATTGTTAATGAAATATAATAAAATAAAGGTAAATGAATATAATGAAAACCACAGAGAGAATAAAGTGAAACAACATAATAAAATGTAGTTAAATTTAAAAGAAACCAAATAAAACAAAACTGAATCTCTGACAAAGTTTAACCTTATTTACATAACATTTCCCAAATAGAACATTAATAATAATAATTAATAATTCCATTCATTTATATAGCACTTTTCTGGACACTCAAGAGAGGGGGGAATCTCCTCATCCACCACCAGTGTGCAGCATCCTCCTGGATGATGTAAAGGCAGCCATATTGCGCCAGACCGCACACCAGCTGATTGGTGGAGAGGAGACAGAGTGATGAAGCCAGTTATGATATGGGGAGGGTTAGGAGGCCATGATGGACAGAGGCCAGTGGGCAGATTTGGCTAGGATGCCGGGGTTAAACCCTCTACTCTTTTTCAAAGGACATCCTGGGATTTTTTATTAACCACAGAGAGTCGGGACCAGGGCCGGCGCGTCCATAGGAGCGACCTAGGCGGCCGCCTAGGGCGGGAGTATAGAGAGGGCTGCGTCCGCGACACCTTCCTTACCACCCACATCCTCAGTGATGTCCGCGACACCTCCCTCACCACCCACATCCTCAGTTAGGTCTGCGACACCTCCCTCACCACCCACATCCTCAGTTAGGTCTGCGACACCTCCCTCACCACCCACATCCTCAGTTAGGTCTGCGACACCTCCCTCACCACCCGTGTCCTCAGTTATGTCCGCGAACCCTCTCTTACCAACCGCGTCCCCAGATATATTCGCGCATAGGCGACAGAATAGAGAGGGCAGCGTCAGCGACACCTCAATCAGCACCCGCGTGTCCTCAGTTATATCCGCGCATAGGGCGGCAGAATAGAGAGGGCGGCGTCCGCAACACCTTCCTCCCTCAGCACCCGCGCGTCCTCAGTTATATCTGCGCATAGGGCAGCAGAATGGAGGTCCGCGGCACCCGCACGTCCTCAGTTATATCCGCGCATAGGGCGGCAGAATAGAGAGGGCGGCGTCCGCAACACCTTCCTCCCTTAACACCTGAGCTTCCTCAGTTATATCCGCGCATAGGGCGGCAGAATAGAGGTCCGTGACACCTCACTTCATTTTCATAACCGGTCACTTTCGTTTTCACATTGGGGTTGAGGGCAGCATGATCGTCCTCTGCCTAGAGCGGCAGTTCAGCTTGCTCCGGCCCTGGTCGGGACCTCAGTTTAACGTCTCATCTGAAAGACGGCGCTCACTGAGCAGTGTAGAGTCCCCATCACTATACTGGGGCTTTAGGACCCACACAGACCGCAGGTTGAGCGCCCCCTGCTGGTCTCACTAACACCACGATCGGCAGCAACCTAGCTTTTCCATGTGGTCTCCCATCCAGATACTGACCGGGTGCAGCTTGAGTGGGTCAACCTTTGCCCAATGTATGCTTCTGTTTTGTATTAATGTCGTATCTTAAAATACAAACTTCTTGCCGGCAATGCGTACCAAACTCCTACGCTGTTTATACAGGGACGAGACAGCCCTTAACAGATCGCCTCTGACCCCATACACCCTCTAAAGAATTCCACGAGGGACACTGTCGAATGCCTTCTCCAAGTCCACAAAACACATATGGACTGGTTGGGCATACTCCCATGAACCCTCGAGCACCCTGGTAGCAATGTCAGACTTGTTTCCAGTGCATGTTGGACTCCGGCAGGGCTGCCCATTTGTCACTGGACCTGCTCATCATTTTTATGGACAGAATTTCAAAGCGCAGCCTTGGGCTGGAGGGGGTCCGGTTCAGGGACAACAGGATTTCATCTCTGCTATTCGCAGACGATGTTGTTCTGTTGCCGTCATCAAACATGGACCTTCAGCATGCACTGGGGGCGGTTTGGTGCCAAGTGTGACACGGCTAGGATGAGAATCAGCACCTCCAAGTCCGAGGCCATGGTGCTCCACTGGAGAAAGGTGGTTTGCCATCTCCAGGTTGGAGGAAAGTCCTTACCCCAGGTGGAGTTCAAGTGTCTTGGGGTTTTGTTCACGAGTGAGGGAAGGACAGAGTGTGAGATTGACAGGCGGATCAGTGCAGCGGCAGGAGTAATGCGGTCGATGTACCGGTCTGTTGTGGTGAAGAAGGAGCTGAGCCGAAAGCAAAGCTCTCGATTTACCGGTCAATCTACGTTCCTACTCTCACCTCTGCTCATGAGCTTTGGGTCATGACTGAAAGGACAAGATCTCAGATACAAGCGGCCGAAATGAGTTTCCTTTGCAGGGCGGCAGGGTGCACCCTCATAGACAGGGTGAGGAGCTCTGACACCCGGGAGGAGCTCGGAGTAGAGCCGCTGCTCCTCCACATCGAGAGAAGTCAGCTGAGGTGGCTTGGGCATGTTTCGGATGCCTCCTGGACGCCTACCTAGGGAGGTGTTCCAGGCATGTTCCACCGCGAAGAGGCCTCGGAGAAGACAACCTGGAGGGACTATGTCTCTCGGCTGCCCTGGGAACACCTCAGGATCCCTCTGGAGGAGCTGGAGGAAGTGTCTCGGAAGAGGAAAGTCTGGGGTTCTCTCTTGAGATTGCTGCCCTCATGAACCAGCCCCGGAAAAACGCATGAAATTTAATGAATGAATGAAACAAACAAATAAATGAATATCACATACGATGAAACTACCCACAGACAAATGTTCTGGAAGGCAGAGAGCACACAGACGTCATGAGGTCGTATAAAAGTTTATTATTTAGCACTTGATGCTGTTCAGCACTAAACTCTGACACAGTGTTTTCAAAAGTCCTGCTCTGAAAAGAAGACGACGGAGATTCAGACATCTCTAGAAGAAACCACATGTTCATTTCAGCGTCATTTACTGCCTCTGGATTCATGCGTTCATCTGTGTGTGAGTGTGTGTGTGTGTGTGTGTGTGTGTATATAAAAAAAAAAAAAAAGATTCTGAAAGTATGTTTGCATGTATGTGTGTGTGTTGTGTCTGTACATTCACATTGACTCAACAGAACTCAATGGAGACTAGAATGACAGTGACGTTGTCTGCACTGCCCCGCCTCACTGCCTCGCTGGCCAATCGCTGACAAGCAGCCTCAAATAGCCCCGCCCCCTCGCTCTGCCCCTCCTTCAGTTCCACGGTCTCGTTCTAAACAACAGAAATAATTGAAAGAGTCAACAGAAGCCAGAAAACATTAAACATACACATGCAGTTAGATTAAATTAAACATTTCTCAAGTTAATTTTGCCAAACGATATACTAAACCAACTAAAACGAAAAGCTCAAAAAAAAAAAAAAAACTCCACATAAACATACAAAAATAAAAATCAATAAAAATTCATAAAAATTTACTTTTTTTAATTAAATTAATTACATTTTAAAAATGTTATTATCAATTATTTTCCTTTGGCTTACTCCTTTATTTATCATGGGTTGCCACAGAGGAAAGAACCACCAACTACTCCAGCATATGTTTTACACAGCGGATGCCCTTCCCTCTGCAACCCAACACTGGGAAACACCCATATACACACATACTCATACACTGGCCAATTTAGTTGATCAATTCCCCAATAGCGCATGTGTTTGGACTGCAGAGGAAACCCACGCCAACACGGGGAGAACATGCAAACTCCACCGTGCCACCAAAATTTTTTTTTATTAATTTCTTTTCAGCTTAGTCACTTGATTAATCCGGGGTCGCCACAGCGGAATGAACCGCCAACTTATCCAGCATATGTTTTACGCAGCGGATGCCCTTTCAGCTGCAACCCATCACTGGGGAACACCCATACACACTCATACACTACGGGCAATTTAGTTCATCAATTCCCCCATATGTTTCTATGTTCTGTTTTCAGCGTGTTTATAAAGGGTTAAACACCCAGTGCTGACACACACAAACCTTTACAAACACACACACGACACAAATATGATTTAACACACACCTCCAGCACGCCGAGGACGAACTGAACAGCCTCGTCTGCAGAAAACACTTTAAAAAGCCCATCACACG